GGAGGCCCCCCGGCTGTGTCCGGGTCTCCCTTGCCCGGCCCCCTCCGCCGTGTGCCCGGGCCAGGAGCCCCAGGCTGCAGCCCGTCCGACTCCTCTGAAGATGTTTTTCCTACGAAACTTCATAATTCTTATATATTTGTTAGCCCCCTGGGCTACTTGCTAGTCTTACGGTTACATTCTGACACGGCTGCCTTCTGAGACTTGCAGCCCTGCAGAGATTATTCCCAAACAGTGGTTGCCATAGCTAATGCGAAGTCAATGGGGTTTTCATGTGAATAAGTACTTCCTAGTGTGGGCAAGGCTTCTATAATCTAGTCAAGCGGCGGGGGGACTTTTTATGATGGATCACTGACCCACAGAAAAAATCATGGGGAGTGGGGGAGCATGCAAGTAAAAAAACAACTTCATTTATGGTTGGTTTGGGGGTTTCTGTGGGGTGGAGGAATATAAAATGCCCAACTCATCCACGAGAGAGTGGAGGAAGATGTGGCGGCTTGGGGCTTGTTCCCCATGGTGGGGTGAGCTAGTGGTCATAAATCCAGTCCTACAGAGTCATAGAACACTAGAACTGGAAGGGACCTCAAGAGGTCATCGAGTCCGGTCCCCTGGCCTCACAGTAGGACCCGGTACTGTCTAGGCCATCCCTGATAAATGTCTATCTAAACAACTCTTAAATATCTCTAGAGATGGAGATTCCACAATCTCCCGAGGCAACTTATTCCAGTATTTAACCACCCTGATAGGTAGGAATTTTTTCCTAACGTCCAACTTAAACCTCCATTGGTGCAATCTAAGCCCATTGCTTCTTGTCCTATCGTCAGATGTCAAGGAGAACAATTTTTTGTGCCTCCTTGTGATACCCTTTTAGATAACTGAAAACTGCTATCATGTCCCCTCTTTCTTCTCCTTTCCAAATGAAACAAGCCCAGTTCTTTGAGTCTTCCTTCATAGGTCATGTTCTCTGGCCCTTTAATCATCTTGTTGCTCTTCTCTGAACCTTCTCCAGTTGCTCCACATCTTTCTTGAAATGTGGTGCTCAGAACTGGACACAGTACTCCAATTGAGGCCTTTGGAAAATCTCAGTGTTCCCCGAGCAAGACACAAGAAATCTAGTTTTAAAACACTTATGAATACAGAACAATTTGCATTTGGTATGGTGATGGAATGAATGGCCTAAGAAACCTTTTCTATCTCTAATTCTGCGGTATCTGATCTTAAGGCTACTACACTTTATGTTGGACTCTCAACAAGTTGTGATTTTATTATAATTCATTTGCATTATTGTAGTGCCTGGTTGCTCTAGTCATGGGCCAGGACCCTGTCGAAGCAAAAACACGCTCCTCTCTGTTTAGGCGGCTAACAACTGATTGCTTTATTGATCAGTAAAGCAAAGTGAGCCAAACGTGGTCCCAGCAAAGTCGGGCCCAGTAAAGCTGCTAATACAATCAATCCTAGTATCTTTATACCCTTAGCCAAACAGTCTGACGTCAGGGCATCCAATTACAGAAATCCTCAATTAAATTTGGAAAAACAAAGCCTTATCAACAAGATGGCGGACAGGTACGAGGGAGTACATCTCCTGTCCCAACCAGCCCAATTAACACATACCAATAGCCCATCCTGTAGGCCTCTTCTCACGGGGTGACAGAAAGTTCACTCTGGTCTACGTGCTTGAGAGAAAAGCTGAAATGGTTTCTGATATACAAGATGGCTTCTAGCTAAATATGAAAATGGTTTCTACAGCTTCTACAACCCCATTGTATTAGGTGCTATAGAAACAGAACAGAAAGATGGTCTTTGTCACAGTGAATTTACAGTTTCAGGCTGTGAGCAAAACTTTTGTCATTTGGGATGGAGAGGAAAAAACACATCCTGATTGATGTACTTCCCTGACAATAGTGCTGGTGTGGAGGAGTTCTCCTACTATTACTCTCCTTAACAGTGTTTTAATAATATCCGTATGAAAGCGCTCTCCCTTGAAAAGATTTTATACTGCAGATAATAAGCTAATAGAGTAGTCAATGTAACTTCCATCAACTACTCGATTGGGTGCTCCCTCCCCCCACTGCAGCTCAGCAGTTCAAATGTAGTAGGAGCTGGGCTGCCATCCAGCTCCTGCTACATTTGAACTGCAGAGCTGCCACAGGGTTGGCTCCTCAGGATGGTGAGAGATGGGACTGAGCAGTCCCCACTCATGCTGCCAAGAGCTGCCTGGCTGTTACTACATTTAAAAGGCAGAGGCACAGTGGGGGACTGTGTGAACCAGGAATCAGCTGATTCCTGCTTCATCCCTGGTCCCAGATGCTGTGCCTCTGTTTTTTAAATGTAGTAAGAACATGTTCTTACTATATTTAAAAAGCAGAGAGGCACAGTGGCACGGTATCTGGGACTGTGTATGAGCTGGGACAGCTCTATCAGAGGCAGCAAGCAGGGGGAGGTGACTAGTCAAGTATTGACTTGACTAGTTACTTACATCCTTACTACACTAGAGACTGTTTATCTGTACAACTGTGTTGCTGTAAGTCTACAGTGTAGAAATAGCCTGTATATGCCAAGAGTTAAAGATGGATGCAGACAGAATACAGACAAACAATGAAACAGTATTGGCAAGATGGACACTGGGCTCAATATATCTGCAGCTTCACCAGTGCCATACTTTTTGTAGAGATCTTAGTAGAAAGGAGTTTTGAAGGTGGATTATGAGGTAGCTTTGCAGATCGTTATGGGGACATTCTCCTAAGCGTGAGGTGCCATGTAGGAAAAAGCATGAAAACTTTTTGTTTAAAAAGGAATAAATGGTTAATGGAGGCAAGTAAAATGGATCTGTCAGAATTAAGAATCAAACTTTTGTTACTGAATAAGGGATAAATAGGGTGTGGATAGACTGTGATGGGCTTTGAAAATGAAGGCAAGTAGTTGTTTGCAATAAAGTAGTATGAGCCAATAGAGAGCTGCAAAGACAGAGGTGATGTGGTCAAAGCAATGAACTAAGAATTTCTTTGCAGTAGCATTCTTAATGAATAAAAGTGGGGGCAAGAATGCATTTATTAAGATCTTTAGTTTCTCTCAAAAGGAAGAAATGAGACTTTGAAGTAAAGTCCCAGCTGCAAACCCATTCTCCTTCAATGTTGTACTCATTAGTTTAAGATATTGTCTTCTAAAATGACAAGATTAAAATAGCCTCTATTTTGTCAAATAATGTAGTGCTCCTTTAGTAGCAAAGCCCTGGACAGGAGGGAGAACAGTATTAAAAAAAAAAAAAAATTATAACAGCAGTAGAAATGGTTAAGTGTACCTTCAAATTTTCGGCAAAATATCGCAGTGCCTGGCATTACAAAAAGAAATACTATTTTTAATAGCCTTTAGGTCAGGGGTGTCCAAACTTTTTTCAAAGAGGGCCAGATTTGATGAAGTGAACATGCGTGAGGGCCGACCATTTTGCCTGACATTCTTTGAACCATTAAAATTAAATGCAAATTAACTATTTTATGCAAAGTTTATTGCAAACGGCATACTTTTCATTTCGTCACATGGATGACAAATCTAAACAGGTGTTAAATCACTCTGCCTTTCATATCTGAAGGCCAGATGAAAAAAAAATCCAGGAAGCTGAAATATATGTCAGGAACATTGTAAAGTACATTACATATTATTGGTAATAAAGGTTGTCAACTTTTAAGTTCAAAAAATATGAACAGGAACATAACACCAAGTATACATGTTGTGTCCAAATATATTTATAACTGATTTAGACCAACTGACATTAACTGAGATTTTACAATGTATTCATCTCAATACATATGGATTCGTTGGGGGCCTTAAAAGATAGATATTGCCAAATTACCTGTGGGGCCGTATTAAACCGGAACACAGGCTGCAATTGGCCCACGGGCCGGACTTTGGACATGCCTGCTTTAGGTAAAGCATTAGTATGTACTGTCTATCCAGCACACTTTGATAAGATATGTCTGTTTGGTTAAATATTACTGTATTTCCAAATAGAGATACCAGTCCACTAGACACAATTAACAAATACTGCTTCCAAAGCTGTGAACATTTATGCTGATACATTTTTTTTAAAGTCATGTTTACTTATGCTGTATTAGAAATGCAATAAAATGAGAACTGGCTATAAGAATAGAATATCTATTGAGACTATTAAGTTAAAAAAATTAGGAAAAGGCATTTGAATTTGCCAAACTTAATATGGCATTAAGATTAATGTATTCTCTTATACAGAATTATCTTCTCAGAAGAAATTTGATGAAATTAAGAAGGCTAATCAAGCAGCAGCAAAAAAGTTTGTTGAAGCCCAGTTCAGTTCTTCTGAAGAAGATGACAATGAGATTGAAGGAAAACATGGAACGATATTGGCCAAAACATTCACAACATATACTATTCAAACTGGTAAAATATTTTAATGTTTACTTCTCTGTAATATAAGAAATTAGCTTAATTGCGCTACAATATATTAGGGATGTACAATCCTGTTTAATTGGCTAACTCGTTAAACATCATGTAACCAATTAAAGAGGGTGAGGGGAGGGCTGCTCCAGCCTGGCTGGAGAGGCCCTCACCCAGCCCTCTGATGCAGGCAGGGTCTGCTCTGGTGTCCCAATTGGAATACTCTCTGCCTGTGGGGCACCTGGGCCTGCTGCAGACAGTCTGCTCTGCAGGACGCAGGAGCAGCCTGTCTGCGGTGGGCCAGGGTGCCCTGCAGGCAGGGTTTGCTCTAGCATCCTGATTAGAGCCCCTGCTTGCAGGGTGCTCAGGCCTGCCACAGACAGAGGCTGCACCATAGTGCGTCTGGGCCTGCTGTAGGCAGGAGCTGTGCCGGAGCAGTCCCTGTCTGCAGTGGTCCCCCCTGTAGGGCTGGAGCAGTCCCCTGTCAGTGGCAGGCAAGGAGCTGCTCCAGCCCCCCTAGTTAACCTCATCCTTAATGGGTGTGGTTTATTAGTTAAGGTTAACTGGTTAAACCTTCACATCCCTACTATCTATATTTAAAAGCTTGGATAATTAAAGGTAGGTAAACTATATTGATATTTTAATGTTCTTAACATATGGATTTAAATACTTAATTTCTGTGGTGTTCAAAATTGATAGATGATTTGTCACAAGGTATCTCTGTTGCTATCTGGTGTGGTGTGGTGTGATGTCTACACTGTGTGTCACATTCCAGTTATAAACTTTTCCAGGATATTTTAATTTCACCGTGTTTATTTTTATTCCTCTGTTTGTTTTGCTTTTTGTTAAAATACACCGAATGTCACATGGATAAAATATAGCAGAAGCTTTCAGTATAGCCTCTCTTTCCTTAGCACAGTTGGCTCTCTGAGCTTCCCTTCTGAGATCAGTCTTGTTTCCTGTCCTTTCTGTTTATAGACTCCCAATGATATTATTGGCCCAGTAATTATCACCCAGATGCTCATAATCCCACAACAGAAAGTGTAAAATGGCTCAGAGCTGCAGCAACTGATTAAGGTGCTGCTGCTAGCAGTCTGTTACAATTGCATGCCACTTGTACAACCAGCCAGTTCAGGGGGGAAGCTGACTAACTACTAAGCAGTGAGGAAAGAAAAGTCTCAGGTTTGCAAAATAAGGCTTTGGGACTGCAGCTTTTTGTTTTTGGAGGGAGACTAAATCCCTATATGTACCCCAACTTCTTAGGCTGAATTTTTATAACCTTGTAACCAAGATAACCTGATCGCATGCATGGGATCAAGTTATGTAGCATCTGGACCTTTTACATTCACCACTTCTTTCATGCCTACATTTTTGTTTTATTTGGTGGGGCAAGAGAAATTGGATGCTAGTGATGGAAGAGCTCCTGAAAATTGAAGGAGTGGGGATGACAGAGTAGCAGGGAAGAACTGGTCAGGCAGGGCTGTTTGAGCTAATAGGACAGAGATGGGTAGCAGGTGGAGTCGGAAGTAGCAACTTGTGTATACTTGCCACTGCTTCGTGAAGGGCAGAAGCAATCTATTGCGATGCAGGTGAGGAGGACTGTAGGATTCAGCACTTATAGTCTCAAGAACTGAAATTAAACTAACTAAATTGCTGTGCGCCTGCTGTCTATTTACAGCCCTGCTGTGTGGACAGACTTGCAATCTTGAATAGCGTGACTTTCTTTACTCTCTTAAGCTTAATGCAGCACTAACTTGACATTTTTAAAATTTGTACTTGTTATCTTTAAATATGAGTGCTTATCTTTGGATATTCGAGATATAGAGGATCCAACACTGATGGACTTGACTTGTTTTTTGTGCATTTAAGATGGAGATGCAAGTGAACTAGAACGCACAAGACAATATGTGAATGAAGCATTCCAGTCTGGGGCTTTAACATGTTTGATTTGTATTGCTTCAGTTAAGAGGAACCAAGCTGTAAGTATTTTACAATAGTCTTGAAGGTATTAACCAGCTAAATTGCTTTTTATCAATATATATCAAGTAAATGTGTTGCTATTTAAATCTTTAACTTGTGTAATTCATTGGAGTGTTGAGGATTAATATGAAAGTTCTATCAGTACTGAATATTACATAAATTATACAGGTTGAACCTCTCTAGTCCGGCATCCTCTGGACCTGACTGGTGCCGAAACAGAGAATTTGCTGAACCATGGGAGGGCAGGATTGTCTAGCATCATTACCAACACTTCCACTGCTTCCTGGGTGCTCAGAAGATATTTAGGAGTAAATTAGAGTTAAATAACAGCACAGAGCCAGTACTGATGGCCGTAAATAAATTTTACAGGAGACTTGCCTGCACCTATGATACATGAACATCTAGCTAACTAAAATCATGCCGAACCATGGGTGTTGTGGGACCAGAGAGTGCCATACAAGAGAGGTTTAACCTATAGTTTACTTTTTGTCTGTCATGTTTGTGCAGTATTAAGGCTTGTGCATTTATAACTTGAAATCATAGTGTTGAATTTTGGGTTCTTTGCTCTGAGATCCCTGCCACACCTTTGGCTATGGAACAGTAGAAGTAAGCGTGACAGAATTTGTTTTTTATTTCATTATAATTTTGATGAATAACATCTATATTTTCACAGTTGCAGGAAATTGGGGAAGGTGAGTTGGTCAACTATTTAATGACAGATATTGAGATTAAAAATGTTAAAGCTTTATAACTGTTAAAGTACAATTGTCAGTATATATCAAAACATACAAAATAGCTTTAAAGTTTTCAGGAGGTACTCTTCTTAATTCTGTAGATTAGTATAGTGGGGAATATTTTTTCATTAGTTTACCAATTAAAAATTTAATCCTACCAAGCCTAAATATAAGGATCTCATTTTTAAATTTTAGAAAGTCACACAATAGGATGTACAGTCACTGAATCTTGGATAAGATACTGTTACAATCAGCAGTAGTGTCACAATTGGATCATATAGTCAGGGGAACCTAAATAAATGTCATTCTTGCAAAATGGGTCAGGAAGATATGATGAAAGAAAGATTGGAGAGTTTGCATTAGGGATGATAAAACTGGATTAATCAACTAATTGAATAGTCGATGGAAATTCCATGGCATTAGTTGATAAGAGCACTCTGCTTTGAAATGTAGCAAAAGAGCCCTCCTGGGCTGTTGCTACATTTCAAAGGCGGAAGTGCCACACGGCATTTTGCTTTTGAAACATGCAAGAGCCCCAGCAGGGGCTCTTATGCACTTCAAAGATTAAAATGCTGCATGGAGCCTGGAGCTAGCGAGGGACTCCACTGTCCCCGGGCTTCATGCGCATTTCTGCTTTGAAATGTATAAGAGCCCTAGCAGGGATCCATGGTGCTGGAGCTGTGGGGTGCTCCTTTCTCTTTCTGATAGAGGCAGCAAGGCGGCAGCGACGGGGAGTGACTATTCAACTAGCTTTTTCTTATTGATTCGTCGCTTGCATCCCTAGTTTGCATAACTTGGCACTCAGATCTGCATGGCTAAATAAACATAGTCAAAACGACAGTCCCCCCCCAACCATTTTATTTTTCATGCAGCCACATTTTTTGATGATCCTACATATTTCAAGCAAAATCTTTCTCCCACACTGGAAAAAACATAATTTTAAAAGTAGATGGGACCCATCAGACTTCACTCTAGAAAATATTGTAAGGGGGAATAGAATGGCTGTACCCTTGGTTTTCAATAATAAAAATTGCTGCAAAAGAGGGAATGTGTAGAGAAACTTAAACAACTAGCCATCATTAAAAAAAAAATTGTACTTGGCTTCCGTGAGCAATTTTAACACATTATACATTTATTTTTGTTAGATCTTTTTAATTGAAATAAGCTATTTTTAATGTGTCAGGGTCTGTTTTTAAATCATCTTTGTTTGGCAACAGTTGACTTTGCACAGTAGACCTAATATTATTTGGAAGTCAGAATGAAAGTTGTGTTTTTGTTTTTTAATTAACACATTGTTACTCATTTTGGATCCTTGACAATTTTTTCCATTGAGTATTTTAATGCAAATGTAATAAACCTCTCAACTGTTTATAAACATTAGTTTTGGAAATTGCTATTACAGATAGTAACTTTCTTAGGGTATGTCTACACTACAGTGTTATTTGAAGTAGTTATTTTGAAATAACGCGTCTACACACAAAATGCATTTCGAAATAGTGCGTCCACACTGAGTCGACTCTGAATCGCATTTAAGGTTGGCCGGAACCAGTTCCGGCAGGGCACTAGGTCAGTACTTACTGTATGGGGCAGCTAACTGAAGTCTGTGCTTAAAGGCCCCCCTTTTCTCTGCTTGCTGGTCTACCTCGCTGAGGGACAGCAAAGCATTTGTGTCTCGAAGTGCTCTGCTTGCCCTCACTCAGGACACCACGGCACTCTGCAACATGGAACCAGACCTGCCCCTGGGGACTCTGCTGCATCTTGTGGACACATTGCCAGCAGTCTGGCTGCACTGTCTGCAGGCTGCCATCAGGGAGGACCATTGAGGGGATGTCAGTATCCAGGAGGCCCAGCGGGAGAGCTTCCACCCTGAGGAGCATGAAGAGCCTCCCTGGTCTGCCCCACTAGGGGGTTGTGCCTCATTCCTCCCTCACGGCCTTCCACTTATCCCTCCCTAACCCGTCTTCCTGATTTTCATGAACACAAACTCTCTTTATTGAACAAAACGGGGGGGGGGGAGGGAATGAAACTCTGGTGAGACTGAGGAAAGGAGGTGGGAGAGGGGAGGGGCAAACCTGGGAGGAGAGAGCTGGAAGGGGGAAGCAAGAGGAAGAAGGGGGAGGGGAAGCTCAGGGCTGGGGGTCTCACCAGACCAACTTGATTTTCATGCAAACCTGCTCCTGGGTTCGCATGTGGCCTTTGGCCAGGCTGGCAGCTATCCTGCCACAGATGGCCGTGTTCCTCCATCTAGTGCAGAAATCATGGATGTTGGGGGCATCCTGGGGAGTGGTTGAGGGCTGGTTGCCAGTGGCTTGCTGGCTCATGTTTTGGGGCCACTGGGTCGGGCAGTGACTGCTGACTCTGGGCTGGCAGGCTTGGAGCTGGCACAGGCACTGTGGCCACAGTTTACTCCTTTAAGGGCTCCAGGAAAGGAGAGAAGTGTTCTTGGTTGAGGCTGGAGTGGCCACCAGGGCACCCTGGGATGGCTGGAGGCCCCCTATTTCGAAATAAGTGTCTACACAGCACTTATTTCGAAATAGCTATTTCGAATTTGTCGTTATTCCTTGTAGAATGAGGTTTACCAAATTCGAAATAAACGCTCCACTATTTCGAATTTATTTGGAAATAGCAGTTTGGCTGTGTAGACGCTAGGAAAGTTATTTTGAAATAAGGGCTGTTATTTCAAAATAACTTTGCTGTGTAGACATACCCTTAGTGAGCCTGTATAACACGCTTTTGACTTTGAGTCAGAGGACTGGAAATGTTTTCTCTTCCCTTTTTATTTAAGCATAAAATAAATTGGTTCCATTTAAAATATCCAAGGGTAAATCCAGGAAAAAAGGAAATTCAGACTTTCATATTCAGGTGTTTCACTTAAATCCAGTTCCTGCAACACTCTTGATTTTTAAGGGTGTGTCTTTGGAACTCTCAGTAGCAAGCCAAATATTGTTGCAGCTCAGACTCTGAGCCTAAGAGTATGTGGACTCCAGACCTAGAGCTCCAGTCCAAGCAATGATATCAAAGCACTGTGTAAACAGATGCTTTTAGGCTTGATAGCATGAGCTGAGTCTGTATACGTGGGCCAGGAAACTTTTTGCATAGGCTGCACAGACATATCCTAAAGGACCTTACACTATAACTTGAAATGTCCTTGTTACACTATGAATTTGCAAACTTATAAGGGGTGTGACATTGGTTTGCACAGCCTTGCATCTTTGTGTATTGTGTAAGACTTACAAATGTATGTAATAGGCCCTGATTCACATCTATGCATTGGAAGTTGTGTACGCGTAAATTGGGTTTATTTTTATAGATTTTTGCCTATACTATTGCTTTGAGAGAGTCTGATATCTGAAAGATTATTATGAAAACTGACAACACATTTATTCACCGTTCATGTGTTTTCATAACTGTTCTTATGCTGTTTGCAGGTTTCCAGTTACTACTTTTAGGCAGAAAGTGTTCCCTCACAACTCCCCTATTTCATCTTGTAGTGAAATCATAAAATTGCGTTTGTTCTGTTTTACTTGATGCTCAGCTATAGGGATGTATTGAGCATATGATTATGCTTCACTTCAGAATCAGCAAAGAAAAATGCAGCTAAGATCAAGATTATATAACTTCAATAATGGCAAATGGTACACAGAAGGAGACTGATCACAATACATTGTGTTTTTAACTTTGTCATTTATGAAAGTTTCCTATTTACCCCATGTTAAAATTGACACGTCTTCATTCATCTTTGATTTACTATTGTTGCATGTAACACCTAAGATTAAAGAGGGGAATATCTTTACTAGTATTTCTTTTATATAATTAGACCCACATGAACAACTGGAGAAACTTTTACAGCAATAGAAGAGAGAATAAATATACAGTATGAAACTATAGTAGTAAAATCATCCACATTAGCAGGTGAATGCATATAGTATATGAAACTAGTTTTACCTACTTTTTTAACTGGCTAGATTTAAAGTTGATATCCCTTTAGATGCTGGGGTGAGGGTTTTTTCCCATTCATTTAATCAGAAGCTAACCAATAGATGCTAGTCATTTCTTTTTTTATTTATCTTTTAGGTCTGGAGCTGTTCTGGATGTTTTTGTATATTTCACATGCCATGTATCCAAAAGTGGGCTAAGGACAGCCTTTTTCTTGTATCTTCTCCTTTGACAGATGATGATTTTGGGAAGAAAGATTATCCATGGCCTTGGTAAGTGTTTCATGTTACGTTGACAAAAATGCCTTGATTGAGGACTAAGTGGGAACTGGAGTCACTTAAAAAGTGACAGTCCTTGTAGATGAAAAATGTATACTCCAAACTTGCTTACATTTTGTTTGAAGTTCATACTGGCTCAGTGTGTGTTCAGGAAACATAAAAATAACCACTGCCTAGAAATATTTAATAGCTGAAAACAGTAACTTGACTGTAACACATCTCATGTTTTGCCCTCTCTTAAAACGTTTTCTCATCAATTTCAAAATCTCTTACTGCCACTACCACCAATAAACTTAATATAAATGAGCTATGATATGAAAAATTCTAGAGGTGGCTAACCTGTGGTAGCAAAAGATTACAGTACAGACTGGATTTACATGTTTGTTAAATATACAGTTTCTTACCTAGCAACCACTTCTGCTCTTATGCAGGCAGACAATGCCTTCTCTACTACAAATAGTGTTTCTTAACCCTATTCTCAAATGCTTATACAACCGCAGAGGAAATGACCCTTTCAGTGACACTTTTGATTTCTTCTAAGGACAGATATATTGCCTTTAAAAGCATGATAAAATTCTAAGAATCTAAAAAAATTGAGAACCGTGGCATGTTCTCTGACAGTGGCACTTGAAGAATTGCCGTCTCTTTCTCTGGTGATTTTTAAGCCCCTGGCTCAGGTATGTCACAAGTATTCAGTTGAAGGTTTGGAAAACTCACTTTTGTCTTCACACTGTCTTGGTTCATGGTCTGCAAATTGTTGCAAAACAGAATCCAGATTTTTAAGATGATCCTCTTGATCCCCTCTCGAATGAGAATGTTGTTAAAATATTATTGAACTCCCGTCATTTCCTTCAGAATCTCACTGGTTGCTTTCTGTAGCAGAGCAGGTGCTGATGTAACACACAAAGGCAATTTGTTGTAGCCCCTCTCCCCAGCCCCCAAGCCTGCCCCCCCATCCTACCATTTCATGTGTTGTGAGATATTTGCCGTACACCATATCATTCTCCATTTGTAGGTATGCATTGAGCAAATCCTGTATACTAAAACACTGTGCTCTATTAAGAATAGCAAAAAAAAAAAAAAAACTTCACTAAAAGGTAGTAGATACTGATTTGTTCATAAAGTTGGATTCACTGTCACTTTAAAATCTATGTAAGTTTAGATGGAGCCATCATTTTTGAGCACTGGTATCTCACTCACTTAGTGAAATGGGTGGCAAGACTCAAATGTTCACTAAACAGTCTAAATCATAATTTGACTTCTGTCTTGATTCAGACTTCATAGGTTTCTTCCTTAATGTATGATTGCTCTGGTGATGGTTCAACTGTGTGACAGATCATGGCAATGTGTCCTTTCTTTTGTTGCTTCAATCAAATGAGCTGGTTTGGATAGCAATACAATTTGCATAAAATGGCCACATTGAATTTTTGTGCATTGGTCCTTTGGCTTGCCAATTTAAGAAGTGTACTACTTGGTTCACCCTAAATTTCAGAGAATTGTTCTCTGCAGTTTCCATGCCAATAGCTACGCTTTGTTGAATGCTAGTGCTGATAAGTCAGAAACTTCTTTCAGATCAGATCATTCTGTAATCCAGAGAGAAACTGGTCACATTAAGCATAACTTAATATTTGTCCTCATTGACAGTTCTTTGACAGCATTTTTAGAGTATCAATGAACTGTGCTACTGGCTCTCTGCTTCCTTGATGGAACTAGTATCTGTCTGCTGTCATCAGCAGGGCAGAAGAGAAATGTTTGTAGCTGTAGTAGTTGTGGCAATTCCTGGGCATAATTGGAGACAACAGATCATTCAGCAATCTGGATGTTTTCAGATCTATTACTGTCAGCAGTATTGAAACCCAACCTGGAATGGAATTGAAAACTAAAAGTGCTCAGATTGTTTGAGGCACGATTTGTGGTTTTTCTCTGATTCACCAACATCACCTACAAATTTGTCATTTTTTTCACTCTTATTGGACTTAGTACTGCCCCCCCCCCACACACACATTTTCTTCCACAGAGACACCTTTTTTTTGTATTTGTTTTGTTCCCATTCTTGGGCAGTCTGTGGGACACTAGACTGTGGGACACTAGACTCTTGTGGGATAGAATAACCTCCCTGTCAATGTTTTATTTAGACCAAGAAGTGAAGGAGCTAGACAAAGGGAGAACTGATTTTAAACACAGCTGTCTGCTGTAGAGACTTTGTTTTTTCTGGTAACAAACAAGAAAAAACAGAACTGAGGTTTTGCTCTGAGTACAGAGTGCCCAACCACTTAGAGGTAGGACATTTACCATGTGGAAACTGGTGAGAAACAAGCAAGATGGCAAATTGAATTAAATGGTTTTTGTTGTTGTTGTCTTCTGCGCCTGTTACATTTGTTTGCAGATCTTGGGGTTGTGAAATTTGCCCTTGAAAATTGTCATTGGTCCTGGAGTCTATGGGTCTTTTTGGGGACTGACTACAGCTAGTCCTATGTGTCAGGCAACTGTAACTTGTAATCTCTCATAGATCTATATTTTTAAGGTATTAAGTTTTGTTTTGCACATCTTAGGAGTTAAGTGCAGGAAGAGTTTCAGTTTTTTAATGTCACTGCTCTTGGTCCCATGCAAAGGAAGTAATAATGTTGTTACATGTACTCTTTTACATCGCAAGTAATATCTAAATCCTGTAACTGTATTCCAAAAGTGTTATACTAAAGGTTTAGTATATAAAAATCTCTGCAGTTTAAACTTGTTTGTGGGAAAGGTACTGTGGCATTGGGAGCCTGAAGAATTGGTCTTAATGAGATTGTGCATTTAAAAACTGGTATGTAATAGGGATGTAATAATGAAACCGTTTAAATGGTTAACCAATCCACATGAGCTTATCAATTACCATAACAGTTACACACTGGCTCCTGACCCCACTTCCAGGGAGCATACTGCCACTCGGTGTTGCTGGTTTTGTAGAAGAGCCTGCAGCAGCCAGCTCCCTGGGAGTGGGGATAGGAGCCACCCCACCCTGCTCCGTCTGTGTCTAGATGTGCTGCGGGCTCTGCAGTATAAGCTTTATATTGCAGTGCCCGCAATGTATAACCATGTAACTGCTAAGATTTTAACAGTTACCTAATTGACTGCTTTTTAGCATCCCTAATATGTAGCAGTCATCGTGGTGTGTATTAAACTTAATTATTATTAACTAAAACAATAGCAAAAAACAGTGTGGATTGATTTTTTTTTTTTTTTTTAAATCAGCAAGTGAAAAGCCTCAATTTGAGTATATTGGAATAAACTCTTTCATTTATACTTATTTTCTAAAGAAAGGTGCGTACTTGTAACCCTTACAACATAGAAGTGGGTCACTAGAAGGGATCTCAATAGGCCAGTGGTCTCCAACCTTTCGAGGTTGTCGGGCGCCAGGGGGCGGGGACACTTGCGCCCCCGGGGCCGGCCCCGAGCACCTGGTGGGCGCATGGCACCGTGTTGGGGACCACGGCAATAGGCCAATATGTTGTTTTAAAATAGTCTTTACACTATATTCACATATTTTGGCTGCTTAGGAGGGTACACTATGACTGTATGCATCTGTTTAAGCAGTTACATAGCTTAATATTTTAAAATTAATGTATATTTTAGTATATCTGAAAATGGTGAATGATATTTTTTTGACTCATGATTTATATCAAATTGCATGAAGGTGATAACTGGGATTTAATTAAACACACAACAGCATATAATATTTATTCTTATTTTAAAAAAAAACCTCAAATATTTTGAATACATTTATCAACATATATTTATTAATTACATATATTAATTAGATTGAGTCTTTTATAGGTCTCTTCTTGGATGTACGGTTACTCTGGCTTAAATCATTGTAAATTTAGGCATTAGCATTTTCAATTTAGATTTTCTTTTAAATAGCTTATTTAAACAAATAATATAATTTGTGTCAATTTAAAACAAATTTTGACTTAAAAAAAATTAGTCAAATTTTCCACCTTGAGGGAGAAAATCCTTTGTTAATATCTTTGTTGCTTTGCCAAACATAATCAGTAAAACTGTTCTTTTTTTTCCTTGCCTATGTCAGTCCAAAATGTAGGTTTGAGTACAAACGATCTGAAACTCCGACTCGATACTACTGCTACTGTGGGAAGGTAGAGGATCCAGAGTTGGACCCATGGCTGGTACCTCACTCATGTGGCCAAGTATGTGAAAAGGAGTTTAAGCCTCCATGTGGGCATAAGTGCCTTCTGCTCTGTCACCCAGGTAAGTCTCTTACATTATATCAATTAATTGTTCACACTTAGTCATGAAATTTATCATGCTTAAAGTCACTTATGACTGTGGACTTAAACCTTGAAAATATATATATATATATATATATATA